GTGTATTTCAATCTTTATTTAATATTAAGAATGACGATTCATTACTACCAGATTAAATCATATTATTATACCATCTTGTCACCGTAACAACATAAGTTTTACAGCGTGCCATAATTTTGCTGTAAATGCATTGGGTATTACAGGGTATCATCCTACAATATCAGAAAATGCTAATTAAAATATAAACATTGCAGCCCCCCCCCCCCCCCGAGTTTGACCAAACCCCACAAAAAGAAGTTCGCTAAATCTTTCTGGATTTTGGCCATTCGCATGATGTATCCTTGGAAGCAAAAGATGTATGTACTCCCCCCTGTACTGTCTTCATGCATACTTTGCGATACCCTTGTAATAATCTCATATTATTTCTAGAACTAGTAATTAATAGTATATTTTTTATTATGTTATTAAGAAACCTTTTTCTAAGTGACATCGCCATGGTTTTGTGTATTGTAGAATTGAGACAGATCAAAACAACAAAAGAACACAGCAATATAGCTGCAGCCATTGAGGGCATAGTTCACCATGAGTCAATCACACAGACCTCCCTGTCAGCGTACTAGAATGAAAATAGATGATAAATAGAGACATTGTCTACAATAAATAGTGTGCAATATCATTGCAGTACTTTTTTTTTTATTCACAGATAAACATGTACTCACACCACGCTATATTTCAAAAAAATACAGGAATAATTCACTACACTGTAATCAAAAATCACTTCCTGGTCCCATTTAATTTATATTGTGCAAAATTGTAACTTTTAAGAACAGACAACTTTCACTGGAATAAATTTTCGCTGAAAAGACTTCTTGGGTATTTTGTATGGAATTTATTTTCACTGATTTTTGGTGAGTTGAATGTAAAATATAGGAAAAAAAGTAAAAATAGACAAAATTAATTCCAAGTGAGTACTAGTATCTCACAGTATCAATATATTTATGTAACAGGTAAGCTATTTAGAAAAAAAAATATTTGTGTGAAAACATAGCTTAAAACAAAATGTATAAATCTTTTGTGGTGGTATGGCAATCGTTTAGTTTAATTATCAAAAAATATCTATGCTTGCTTTATTTTCAATCATTTTAAACACTTTGTATATTGTGAAATGTCACTGTATTTTAGTTTTACGATTTTTGTTTTTTCTTTTTGAAGTAATCAGTACCAGATGTTGTATAGAACATAACAACATTCTTAAAAACTTGGCAGAACTATTACAAACTTGTCTATTGAAAACATAACAAATCTATGAATAGATAACAAACTAAAAATGATCTGAGCATTTTGCATGGAAAATAGAAAAAAGTCATAATTACATATAAACAAGCAGCTTCTCAGCTGAGATACCGCCGCTGTTAGCAATGCACGTTTCAATTAAAAAACTGAAGATATCAGTAGAAGATTAACAACTCTGAGAGAGGTCTATGTGTGGTGCCTATATGTATAGTATCAAAGCAATTGGACTTGCGGTTTTTAACAAGCCAAAAATATCATTTACACCAAAAACTACAAAAATATTCATCAAAATTAGAGAATTAAAGATATCATTACAAAATGAACAAATCTAAGAGAGGTCTGCCCAAGGTACATATACACCAAGTATCAAAGCAATAAGAATTGTAGTTTTCAAGAAGAAGTTGAAAAGGTAAGAGGTTGATGCGGACGACGATCACTCATATAATAAGCTCTACTCGACAAAGTCAAAAGCAGAACTAAAAATTAATGTTCAAGTTTCTCAAATAATACTACATGTACTGTATTAATCTCATTGTCCC